GTGCTCTACCCACTGAACTACGGGTACCTCCTCTCTTTCTTTTTTTTTTTTTGGTTGCTGTTTGGCAGGGGCCAGGTTCAAACCCGCCACCCTTGGTATATCGGGCCGATGCCCTACTCACTGAGCCACAGGCGCCACCCTCTCCTCTCTTTCTTAAGTAGCATTTTTCTGATCCTATAGTGAAATGTAATCTGAAGCTCAGTACCGCATCCCTAAAACACTGCAGGATTCTGAATTGACATATATAAATCACTCAAGATTAAATTATATTCAGCAGAGCAGACTCTCTTGAGTGCTACTTATTTTTTCCATTACTACAGTAATGCCTCATTCATCAGACAATCTTATTAACTATGACATCTATTCTGGCCAAACTGGATAACAATGACCCACCTTTAGAAGTCCAAATGGAACGAAGGTGAAGTACTCATTTCCTCCCAGAATCCTATTCTAAGTTTTACTTTATTTATATAAATTTAATGAAATGACATGGTTCAATGGATCACCTTACGTCTTAATGTTAACAGATCAGTTCAAACTGATCAGTTATGAACAATGTTATGGAATGCAACCTTTTAAAATGCCACTATTAACTTTCCTAAAACCTTAACACTAGCAAAAGGGGTTACCAATCATACAACGTATAGAAGAAATGACAGAGAAGTATTAATACAATCCTCAATTTAAATTAACAAACAATTACAGTCTTTACAATAATCTTTGAGATAAGTCTTTTAAATCCCATCTTACAGATGTACAGAGGAGAATAACCTACCAGCATCATTCAGGAGGATCTAAATGGTAGCAAATTGGATGATGGCAATCTACTAGGTAAGGTTCTGAGCTCCACTGAAAAGTATTATGCTATCCAAAGACCTCTGCTTCAAATTTACTAATAAAAAGTTCTGGGTTTTCTTATTGTTTGAAATCTGTGCCTTCTCCTCTCCTTGAATAGTTATTCCCAAAGTCACCATAATTATTTCTTTTTGGTTTATGTAGTACATGTATATTAGGCAACAAAGGATGATAAATGCTTAAGAATAGTCTTGACAAAGATTTTTTGGATTTGATACCAAAGGCACAGGAAAAAGAAGCAAAGATAAACAAGAGGGACTATATCAAACCAAAAAGCTTTTGCACAGTAGAGGACACAATCAACAAAATTAGAAGCAGCCTATGGAATGGGAGAAAATACTTGGAAACCAGACATCTCACAGAGGCAATGTCTAAAATACATCAGGAACTCATAAAACTCAACAGCAAAAACCCAATAATCAGATTTAAAAATAGGCAAAGGATAGGAATAGACATTTTTCTGAAGAAGACATACAAATGCTCAAAAGGTACATAAAAAGTGATATCACTTCCTAGAGATATCACTAATCACTAGGGAAATGCAAATCAAAACCACAATAAGATATCACCTCACACCTGTTGGGATGACTATCACCAACAGGCAAGAGATGACAAGTGTTGGTGAGGATGTGAGAAAAAGGAACCCTGGTACACTTTTGGTGGGAATGTAAGTTGATGTAGTCATTAAGGAAAACAGTATAGAGGTTCCTAAAAATTTAAAGTAGAACTACCGCATGATCCATCAACCTCCCTCTTTTTTTGCAGTTTTTGGCCAGGGCTGGGTTTGAACCTGCCACCTCCAGCATATGGGGCTGGTACCCTACTTCTGTGAGCCACAGGTGCCGCCCCCTTGTTTTTCTTTTTTTTGAGACAGTGTCTCACTTTGTCACCCTTGGTAGAGTGCCATGATGTCACAGCTCACATCAATCTCAAACTCTTAGGCTTAAGTGATTCTCTTGCCTCAGCCTCTTGAATGGCTGGGACTACAGGTGTCCACCACAATGCCCAGCTATTTTTTTGTTGCAGTTGTCATTACTGTTTAGCTAACCCGGGCCGGGCTCGAACCCACCTTCCTCAGTGTATGTGGCCAGCGCCCTACCCACTGAGCTACCAGCACTGCCCTTAATCTCAGTTCTTGGTTAATACCCAAAGGAAATGAAATTAGTATCTCAAAGATATCTACACTCCCATGTTCATGGAATCATTACTCATGATAGCCAAGACATGGAAATAACATAAGTGGTCTGCTAATGGATGAATGGATAAAGAAGATACGGGAAGAAAATAAATACAACACACACACCCCTCTCCCTTTCTCTCTCTTATGATGGATTATTCAGCCATGACAAAAAAAAGAAATCTTGCCATTTGTGACAGCATGGATCAACTTTGAGGGCCTTATGCTAAGTGTGATAAGTCAGAGAAAGACAGATACTACATGACCTCACTTACATGTGGACTCTAAAACAATAGAACTCAGAAATAGGGAGTAGAATGGTGGTTATCAGGGGATGGGGGTGTAGGGAATAAGTAGATGTTGGTCAAAGGATATAAACTTTTAGTTAAAGGAAGAATAAATTCTGGGGATATAATGTACAGCATGGTAACTGCAGTTAATAATATTGCGTTATATACTTGAAATGCACTAACATAGTAAATGTTCTCACCACTGCACACACAAAAAGGTAAAGACTGGTATGTGAGGTGATGTATGTGTCAACCAACTTGATTATGGTAATCCTTTAACAATATATACATACATCAAAGCATCACATTGCACACCTTAAATACATATAAAATTTTGTCAATTATACCTTGATAAAGCTGGAAAAAAAAGTCTTTAAATCAGTGTTTTCACATACAGTGAAAACTGTTATCGTCCCTTCCTTCAATCAACAGATTGACTAAGTAGAGTGAGAAGAGGCCCTGCCCAGAACTTTGAGGAACAATGAGAGAGAGAGAAGAATTTGTCAGAAGAGAAGCTCACAAGAAGCCTGAGAATGAATGGCTAGAGAGATGAGAGAAAAACTGACGTCACAGAAATGAAATGACTGCTTTTTTAAAAACTGGGAAGGGGAAAGCTAATTTAATAGATGAAGAAAGATATAAAGGTTCAATTCATTCAGTTTTAAAATTCGGAAGAAGAAAAAAACATGATTCAACAAATAAACAATAAAAATAAGCTGCAGAACCATATTATGGTTCTTTACTCTAAATGATTTTGTTTCCTTTCACGAGGAAAAAGAAAATCTTCAAGGTCTAAAAAGAAAATAAAGCCTAATTCTTGGTCATCCAGAAGCTCATCTCACTTAGGCCTCACTTATGCTTTTCTGTACAAGTTCCTATTTATTCTTAACAGCCATTCTCTGAATTTATCTTCAGTGAGGTCTATACCTTTTTAAAAGCCTCATCTCTCATAGCTGTGTTTCAATAAAGCCTCTTTGCCTCTTGGCTTCCCTTCTCCTGCTCTGCAGTAACTCCCATGTGACTCCAACTCACTTTCCTTCATGCTCTTGCAGTGTGCAACTACAGGTGAGCATCTGTACCCAAAGGCTGAAATCCAAAGTGCTCCAAAATCTGAAACTTTTTGAGCATTGACATGACATGCAATGGAAAATTCCACACTTGGCCTCATGTGACAGGCTGCACATATTATTAAAAGATTGTATAACCTCAGGCTATGTATATAAGGTATACATGAAACAGCAATAAACACTGTGCTCAAGACTGGGTCCCATTCCCAAGATCTCATTATGTACATCCAAATATCCCAAAACTGAAAAAAATTCAAAGTCCGAAACACTTCTGGTCCTAAGCATTTCAGAAGAAAGAGATACTCAGACTATCACTAGATGTGCCCCATTTCCAGCTAGCACATTCTCACCAACAGGGAGTCCCACCAGGAGAGTGGCTGTCACAGATTTCTCTCTTTCAAAATGCTTAAAACCACCTTAAGAAGTAATTTTATCTCCAGCTACTGGCTACCGAATAAAAGGCTGAGGTGAAGATCTCTCACTTAGGATGTGAGAACCCATCTTTCATATTACCCAGACCCGCCCCCCCAACCAACTGAAATCTGTTGTTCTAAACAGAATAGCGTTCAAAAGATTATTTTAGAAACCCTCCCACATATTCAAGGAGGTCAATGTGAGAGCTGCTGTTTTTTACTCTCGTCCTGACATTACTGATTAGTGAAGAAATTAGGCTCTTGGGTACACCCAAAAGGAAATGTTCTTTTGCTTAGTCTGATAATTTCCTGCTGCTTCCTGTTATTACCTCTTAGGTATTATAAGTTAAATATTCTTAAACATTCCCTTTTATCTTCTTACCCAGTCAAGCTTGTTTTACAACATTAAGCAAAGATGCTCTCTGTACTGGAATATCACAGAATGCCATGGAGAAAAGAAGTTCTAGTCACAGAATAAAAAATTAAAGGTCAACCAGTATTTGCACACCATTAAGTACTTATAAATCCATTACTTAAGGCCCCCTAGAATGAGTAGGTTTGTATTGTGGCTTTCAAGGTCTGTAAATTACAGTTATCAACAAAGAACAAGGAGAGAATACAGAAGAGGTCTTAAAACCTCTCCTCTCTTTTATTTACAGACTGCAAGGTTGGTGGGAGGTGGGAATAAGTTCTGTTCTTGGTAACCTTTCTTCATAGAGAACAAAGCCTGAGGTGCTACTTAAAATTATTTCATTGTCTTTTTAAGTAATGGACTCATTAATTCTCAGGGATATTGATTAGTGCAGAAAAGTACATTGCATTCTAATTAATGAGACTGTCTTAGTAAAAGGGGAAATGTTGCATAAAATTAATTTGATTTTATAAAAGATTTTATTAATGAAAATGGTTTTATATATGAAGTTTGAGATAATCTGGTACACATTAACAAAATTCAATATGGGAAGCAGGCCTGTTTAGTAATGTTATATTGTCTTGAAAAAATTAAAAGCCTTAAAAAATTAAAAGCCTGTGGCTCAGTGAATAGGGCACTGGCCCCATATACCGAGGGTGGCAGGTTTGAACCCAGCACTAGCTAAACTGCAACAAAAACATAGCCGGATGTTATGGTGGGCACCTGTAGTAACAGCTAGTCGGAGGCTGAGGCAAGAGAATCTCCTAAGCCCAAGAGCTGGAGGTTGCTATGAGCTGTGACACCACAGCACTCTACCGAGGGCAACAAAGTAAGATTCTTGTCTCTTAAAAAAAAAAAAAAATTAAAAGCTACTGGTAAAAAGTAGGCAGAGGAAAGGAAAGTCTCTCAATCAAAAAAAAAAATTCTACCTTGGCGGCGCCTGAGGCTCAGTGGGTAGGGCGCCAGCCCCATATACGGAGGGTGGTGGGTTCAAACCCGGCCTGGCCAAACCACAACAAAAAGAAATAGCTGGGCGTTGTGGCAGGCGCCTGTGGTCCCAGCTACTCAGGAGGCTGAGGCAAGAGAATCGCCTAAGGCTTTACAGGCGTCCTCAAACTATGGCCCACCAAGGACATTTATCCCACCTGCCAGGTATTTTTGCTGCCACTGCCTGTCCTCCTTAGCAGCCTACTTGCCCTGGGGCCTGCAGTCCAGCCCTCCAAGGGTCTGAGGGACAGTGAACTGGCCCCCTGTTTAAAAAGTATGAGGATCCCTGGCAGGAGTTGGAGGTTGCTGTGAGCTGTGATGCCATGGCACTCTACGGAGGGAGATAAAGTGAGACTCTGTCTCTACCAAAAAAAAAAAATTCTACCTTACTGCCAAAGTTTAAAAATTAAACTATACTCTAATGAAATGTTAAAATAAACATAGGAACTTCATTCCTCTGGGAAGATAGATTCCGGGAGGGAGGGAAACCCTGAGCAGTAGTCTGGATCTTACATTCAGGCTATGGCCCAACTCTTCACTCAGTAAATATTCCTTTTTATAATCTTGATTTTTTTAGCTATTCCTTCCTTAGGCATTATTACATCTGGGTGATACCATGTGTTTTTTAAAGCCATATTAAAATTGTAAGGGAATATCATGTTTCATAAATCAATAGTTAGCAGACACAGATAACATAACTTACCTGGAGCGATAAATTGTTTAACATTGGTGAATCTAGACTTATCCGCCACACTAGCCATAAAACAGCCCTTTGGCACGGTCCAGTCATTAGGCTTGCTGTTTTTGTCCCTGTCTTCTGCTGTTTCATATACCTCTACATGAGGAGGTTTCTCAGTTAGATTCTTGCTGTAATGACTTAACCCATACTGTGCGATCTGGATTGGATAGAAATAGCCTTGAGGTCCCCATTGTGTAGATAATGGTACACCTAGAAAATCGAGAAGCAAAATGAATAATCGTGTCCAGACATTTATAAGCCTATCCTATTCAGTATATATCCTGAATATACTCCTCACTGTGTTCCTTCTGGTGAATGTTATAGGATTATCAGGAACTTTTGAGTTTCCTTATTATATTGCTTTCATAATCATAAGAAACTAATACCAAATTAACTAGGTATGAAGAACAAAATTAAATGTTCATTCTCATCCATTATTTGTTGATAGACAGCAATGCAATGTAATAAAGTACTTTTTAATGACTGCCTTTTGCTCATTGCTACAGATGCCATGTTTCATAATCCTGCTTTGCAATTTTATTTTAAATGTCAGTCCTGAAATGTTCTTTTCTTTTCTTTTCTTTTTTTCTGAGACAGAGTCTATATTACCCTCAGTAGAGTGCTAGAGTGTCACAGCTCACAGCAACTCTTGGGCTTCAGTGATTTTCTTGCCTCAGCCTCCCAGTAGCTGGGACTATAGGCACTCATCACGACGCCTGGCTATTTTTTTTGCTGCAGTTTTTATTGTTGTTTTAGCTGGCCCGGGCCAGGTTCGAACCTGCCAGCCTCGGTGCATGTGGCTGGCACCATAACCACTGTGCTTGGGGGGGGGCGGGGTTTGAGCCAATCCTAAACACTTAGACTTAACAATCGGGTTAACTCATTTCTCCCTCCGTGTCAAAGTGTGGTCTGATAAGTAAGTACACAATCTGATGGTTAAAGTATTTGCTTGAGAAGCCAATTATGACTAGGTAACTTATATACACCCAACCTGTAATTCTTTTTCATATCCTTCCTGTTAAAATCTAATCTTTAAGAACAGTTTTTTTAAAAAAGGATTAAAGAGGCATATTTAACCTTAAATTCTTAAAATAATTCATTAATGGATTATCTCTTGAAAAGTTCTAAGCACAACTTTTTTTTTTAGAGACAGAGTCTCACTTTGTTGCCCTCTGTAGAGTACTATGGCATCACAGCTCATAGCAACCTTCAACTCCTGGGCTTTAGGCAATTCTCCTGCCTCAGCCTCCCAAATAGCTGGATTACACATTGCTCAGCTATTTTTTTGTTGCAGTTTGGCCAGGGCCGGGTTTGAACCCGCCACCCTCAATATATGGGGCTGGTACCCTACTCATTGAGCCAGAGGCACCACCCACTAAGCACAACTTTTAAATATTTGGTATTAGTGTTTATTTTAGTAACTTCCTACATAGGAATTACAATAGTACATTGCATAAAATACTGTACTGTTGTATCATGTACATGTTCAGAGATATATCTCTATTTGTAGTTCTAAAATAAATTACCAAGCATCTGCTGGGCATAGCACAGAGTGGAGACCTACAAAATTGTATATGTTTTAATATACTTTTAAAACAATGTTTAAGGAATTAGGGGCCATGCAGGCTAAAAGACCTAGGCTATACATAAACTTTTTAACATTTATACCTTTTGTCTGCTAACCTGCTTTCTAAAAAAGTGGACCCTACTCAGGCTTTCTGTCGCTGAGTACAAGGATTCCCTTGTCAGTCCACTCTTGGCATCATGGAACATTGCTTTTCAATCTGTTGTTTACAAAGGAATATCATCATTTTCTTTCTTGAACAATTAGTGAGGTCAAATATCAAGGAAAGATTCCCCCCACGCGACCTCAAATTGAATTATTATTTAATAAAAGATAGCTTTATATAATCTTATTAAAGATGTGTGATAACCACAATAATGTTCAAATGCATAAGAACTGAGACTGAGCAATGAAACAGAAAAGTAGGCCAGTAGTACTTGTAAGAATTTAGTATAAAACTGCATTGTGAATCAGTGGGGAAAAGAGATTATTCAATACATGTCGCGCTAAAAAATCTAAAATCAGGCACTAACCTTATACCACAGCCAAAATATAAATCAATTTAGCAAAACTAAAAAAGTTAAATGCAAAAAAAAAAAAAGAAACTATAAAACTACTAGAGAAACTATAAGTAAAAAGCTGATTATAATGTGGCAAATGTCTAAGCATAAACCAAAGTACAGATATCGGAAAGACTCCTTAAATTTACTACATAGAACTAAAAACTTCTATAACTAACAAACCATAGTAAAATTTTAAAAAATTGAAGGCAACACCTTTAACAAATATGAATGTTTCTATACTTACTATGTAAGTAAGAGTTCACACAAACACATTAAAAAAAATCCACAAATAACATTTTAAAAAGGCAAAAGAATATAAAAACACATAGAGAAGATACTTGATCTCACGAGGTATTCCTTTGTAAACAACAAACTAAAGTTCCATGATGGCAAGAGTTGACTGACAAGGGATCTGCTAATGCTTTTTAAGAAAGCAGTTTGCAAAACAGATCAGGAGTTTGGCAGTTTACTTGATATTAACAGTTAATTATATTCTTGGAGTAGGAATATTGTATTCTGAGAATAAAATTAAAATAGCAAATGAAGATTAGCAATGAATATCCCTAACATTATTTATAACACCAGGAAAAATGAAGATGACCTAAGTGTCATCATGGATAAGTGTCCAACAAAAGAGAAGGGTCCCATACATTACATGTGTATATCGTGGTACATCCTTACCACAAATATTAGTAATTAAAATGTACAACAAATATTCAATCACAAGGGGAAGTAAACTTAATTTGTTAGGTGAAAATGGCGCAATACAAAATCAGTATGACCTCTATTTAAAAGATGTTTATCTACAACATCAACAAAAAGATAAAAAAAATCAAAATATTAATAGTATGTATAGGTGCTTTATTTTTTCTTTAGAATCTAAATACCTATTAATTTTATAAACTTCTATTTTTTGTTTTTTTTTGAGACAGAGACTCACTGTGTCGCCCTGGGTAGAGTGCTGTAATGTCAGAGCTCACGGCAACCTCCAACTCTTGGGCTTAAGTGATTCTCTTGCCTCAGCCTCCCAAGTAGCTGGGACTACAGGCACCTGCCACAACACTCGGCTATTTTTTTGTTGCAGTTGTTTAGTTGGGCTGGGTTCAAACCCACCACCCTCAGTGTATGTGGCTGGTGTCACAACCGCTGTCCTACAGGCGTTGAGCCTAAACTTTTAAAAGTCACTTAAAAAATGTTTGGCCATGATTATCTTTGAAGTTGCTAGCAAACTACTACCCTCCTGAATCACTTTATGATGGTATAATAGTGAAGAGGTGAATGGTATAATAGTACAATTACTTTATAATAGTATAGTCACTTGATAATGATATAATGGTATAATAGGTGAATCTGGCCCCCACTCCTCTTCTAAGCATCTGGTAAAGATATTATAAAGTATCTACAGAGTTACCAAGTGAGCACAAACTTTTCTTTCAAAGCAAAAATATATATTAAGTAGGTTAAAAGTTTGTTTCAACACAGATTTTAAAATCACTCTATAGCAAAATGAGAAAAATAAAAATTGAACTATCTCAAAACACATGGAACTCTTTCCTCTAATTAAATGATATACTTTAAAGTCACATTCAATCTGGTTTTCTGGTTTGAAAAGCAAATTCCAAAGCATACTAATTTATCCATAAGGAACCTCCCCTGCCTCAGGTTTGCTTGCTTGTATGTTTTTGGACAAGCTTGAATGACCAATACCTCAGGTTTTAAAGGCAATAAAGACAGTTATGCGACACACCACAGGAGTTCAGCGTAAGTTCAGAGAAAAAGTGTTTATGTACTGTCCTGTCCTGAGGACTTAAAACTTCCTTCCAGAGATGATACCTAGCTAACCAGCTCACACTGGTATGTATACTAAATAGATAGGGCCAGTGGATGGTCTCGCTCCTTTTTCCATCTCCCCTCAGAGGATAACTATACGTTAATGTAAAATTTCTGAAAATGCTGTGCCTTGACTGTACTGGTGAGAATTTTTATAATGCTATTTGTGTAGGTATCATCTCATTACTGCCCTTCAATGATACCATTTAGAAAGTTGCCGTAGGTTCAGACTCTTCCTCCCTGCTAAGTCAGAGTGATGAAAGGTCTCTTGATAATAAGCTGTGTGTACTTGCTGTATATTAACATCTATTTTTTTTTCAACATAATCAGGCTTTAAAAATGCAAGTGAAGCAGAGAAATACCAACCTTCAACCCCGCTTATGCACTTGACTCTGTCTCTGACTTCCACATTGTAGCCTTCAAAGGACATAAAGACGCCATCAGGATGGTAAGGGGCTCTCTGTGCATAAACTTTGGAATAGCTATGAGAGAATTCGAACCGATCATAGCCGTCATACTGAACCACCTTTCCGTAAACATCAAAATATTTCTCCACCCAAGTGAATGGAAGAAAGACTTCATTCCCCTCTCGTCTCCCTTTAATTGTGTGTTCATCATTTATGAGACAGTCAATTTCTTCATATTTGAGCCCTAATACCTTACTTCCTCCATTGTTACTGAAGCCCCCAACGACAGGGGGTGCTTTCTGCTGCTCCTGAGGGAATGCCTCCTCAGACTGTTGTCTGGCCATGTGGTTCACATAGTTGTTACTCTCAGATGCTGCTGCTCTTTTTTCTAATCCATCCACTCTGAAGCCACTACTCAAGTGCCGTGGAAATTGGATTGCTTTGTCACTGGAACACTTATTCCACAAAAGTACTGTGACCAAAGTGAAGAGTGCGCAGATGATAATCAAAGTCTTATAGTTGACCCGAGCTGCCAAGCAACGCATATTCAGACCATACCTACGGAGGCAAGAAGAAAAAATTCATGCAAAGATGTTATAAAGTTTTCTTTATTTTCTAAATGTTGAACAACCATCTTAGGGTAATTTCATTAATTGCATATAATCTGATCAGATTTAAAATTACTAACTCAAACTTTTCAGCATAAAGAAAAGAGGTGCTCCCTTCTTTTGATGAAATGGTCAATTAACATAATTCTCTAAAACAGAGATGTCCAAATTTTCTTAGTTTGTGGCTCCCTTGGTATCTCAATAATTTTTCACACTGTCTCCTAGGCCAAAAGATATATCTAATACAAGTTGAGTATCCTGGCTCGGCGCCTGTGGCTCAAGTGGCTAAGGCGCCAGCCACATACACCTAAGGTGACGGGTTCAAATCCAGCCTGGGCCCACCAAACAACAATGACAGCTGCAACCAAAAAATAGCCGGGCGTTGTGGTGGGCGCCTGTGGTCCGAGCTACTTGGGAGGCTGAGCCCAGGAGTTGGAGATTGCTGTGAGCTGTGATGCCACAGCACTCTGCCCAGGGGGACAGCTTGAGGCTCTGTCTCAAAAAAACAAAAACAAAAACAAAAAACAAGTTGAGTATCCCTCACCCAAAATGCTTGGGACCAGTAGTGTTTTAGATTTCTGAATTATTTTGGACTATTTGCATTATATTTATTATTCCGTACCCCAAATTTGAAAATTCAAAATCTGAAATGCTACAATGCATTTCCTTTGAGTGTCATGTCAGCACGAAAAACAGTTTGGATTTGGAAACATTTTGAATTTTGGATTTTTAGATTTGGGATACTGAATCTGTAGTTTCATTTATTAAGAAGTTAGGGCCAAACAACTTACATATTTACACCCTACCACCTTAGTAGATTCCTGAAAAACATATCTTTTCAAGAGAACACTGACATCCATGTTACCAACTGTTCAGTCCAACAGTGAATTTTCAGTGCTCATGGTAACTGACCAAAGCAGCATAAAATAGCGAATGACTCTTTCCTTCACGGAACACTTCATTCCCATGGTTTCAAGGGCACCAAGCACTTGGTTCTTCCTATAATCCACTTGCTGTTCTTCCTCATTCTTCTTTGAGCCTTCTTTCTTATCTCCCTGACCCTTAAATGCTGGAATGCCTTAGGGTCTTCGTCCTTACACCTCTTCTTTATCTCTATTCACTCCTAAGTCACTGCATCCAATCGCCTTTAAATAGAAGTGTGTGTATATGTATGCTATCTCCAAATTCTATTTCCAGGCCATATCTATCTTCTGACTACAGATAGATATACCCAAATAATTGACATCTTTATTTGAAGGACAAAAAGAATTCAGAAATAACATCAAAAATTTAACTTCTAAAGCTTTCCCTCAACCTGTTCCTCCCTTCCTATTCTTCGGACTAAAAATCTTGACTTCTCTCTGGCTTGCTTCATATCCAGTCAGTCAGGAAATCCTGGCTCTACCTTCGAATTATACCCAGAAGCTGAACTGTTTTCATTAACTCCACTGTTACCACCACATCAGAATCACTTTCTTACTTCACCTGGAACACAGCAGCGATGGCTAAACTGGTCTCTCTGCTTCTACCCTTGGCCTACTACTTCACCCCCACATCTCTTCTCAACACAGTAGTCAGAACGATGCTCAAAAGAAAAAAAGAATGATGCTCCTAAATTTAAGCCAGGTCTTGTCATTCTAGTGCTAATGGGAAAAAAAATCTAACACTTTTTGATCCTGTTGGCCAAATGGTGTACCTGCCAGTTGTGATCGCAATGCAAGTAGTCCTCAGTCATTTATTGTTGGGATTATTAGGAAACATGGGAAATTATGGATTAGTTTTATGTATGATGTATAAAATATTTTAGTCTGTCGAGAGTAAAGGGAGTAGTCTGATTGTTGGTCATGGTAATTCTGTGATTTTTTGTATGGTGTGATGATCTGATTTTGGCTACACTGCTCTACTCAAGGGAATAAAAACAGGGAGGTCTGTGTGGGCTAAGCACAAGCTGCCTGGTAGTGTTCCTTTAGGCTGAGTGGGTGGGGAGTCAGCAAACCTTCTAAATGCCAGAATGAAGGTGGTTTCTTCTCTCTTTTTCCTGGGGACATAATGTACAAGTTAGAAGACATAGTTTTTCCCAATTTTTCTAAAGGGAATCTACCTGTTGTTTTGCCTGGGATGCCGCCAGCTATTTATAGTCCTAGAGCAGGGCTGAGAGAGGTACACGGAAGTGAGGAGAGGGCACACTTGTGCCTCTGGTACCCAGACAGGGATCCAGAATCTGTTCAACTATCACCCTTTGGTAGTCATGGTAATGGTTTCTTCATTTCTCATTCTTAGACATTTTATTTCAGTGAGGCATCAGGAAGGCAAAGATTTGGGTTTATCTTGAAAATCATATACAGATTTTAAGAGGAAGATAATACATTGTGTCATCTTCATTGTCAGTACAAGAAAATGTGTTGAATACTAAAAAACCAAAGTGTGGTGCAAGCAAACTGTCAGAAGTCATATTTCCTTATATTGTAGAGGCAAACCGATAACACTAAATGGTGTTTATTTAAAAAAAAATCTTTCATTTAAAATACTTATGTGTTGGGCGGCACCTGTGGCTCAAAAGAGTAGGGCGCTGGCCCCATATGCCAGAGGTGGAGGGTTCAAACCCAGCCCTGGCCAAAAAAAAATACTTATGTGTCAACATCTGAATAATCTGTCAGCTATGACTAACGTTTTGAGCAATTAAAATAAAAAACAGGGCCAGGCATGGTGGCTCATGTCTGTAATCTCAGTATCTTGGGAGGCTAAGGCAGGAGGATAGCTTGAGGCCAGGAGTTCAAGACCTACATACTGCCTTTAAAGAAAAAATATAAGCAATATACTGCCTTAAAAGAAAAAAAAATAACTAGGCATGATGGTGTGCATGTGTCTGTAGTTGTACCTACTTAGGAAACTGAGGCAGGAGCATCCCCCGAGCCCAGGAGTTTGAGATTACAGTGAGCTATGACTGAACCACTGCACTCCAGCCTGGATAACACGGCAAGAAAAAAAATCAATTAATTTAAAAATGTAAAAAATAAAGAAATAGAAAAGGCTCGGCGCCTGTGGCTCAAGTGGCTAAGGCGCCAGCCACATACACCTAAGGTGGCAGGTTCGAATCCCCAGCCTGGCCCGCCAAACAACAATGATGGCTGCAACCAAAAAATGGCCAGGTGTTGTGGCGGGCACCTGTAGTCCCAGCTACTTGGGAGGCTGAGGCAGGAGACTCGCTTGAGCACAGGAGTTGGAGGTTGCTGTGAGCGTGATGCCATGGCACTCTACCCAGGGGGATAGCTTGAGGCTCTGTTTCAAAAAAAAAGAAATAGAAAAAAAGATTTTTGCCTTACATATGAGAAGTTCTCTTCTTCCATTACTCAAATGAGAGTATGCTTTAGAATACTTATGGAATAAGGCTACCATTATGATGAGGCATATGAAGAGAAAGCAGAGAAAAATCAAAACAAAGCTTTCAATAATCCCTATGCCCAGATTTTGTTATCTGATACCATTCCTTACTAAAAACAATCACAGCTTCTTAGAGAAATGGATAATCCAGGTCTGGGGCTGGTAAATCTTGCCATGCCAGAAAAACAAGGGAACTTTGAAATATCAATGGGATCATTATTTAGGGGGTCAAGAAAGCAGCAAGAGATAGATAAAATCGGACAAATACTAATAATCGCTAAAGCTGAGAGTGACAGGTATATTGGGAGTTCATTATACTGTTCTCTAATTGTAGTATTATATTGAAACATTTCCATAATTAAAAAATATAGTGTCATACTAAAAAGACATAGGAATCAACCTGAAATGGCTCCTCCCCTGCTAATAAAAGTTGTAAGAATTATGACTGAAGTTGACTGACACACACTCAGTCAATGAACATCTATAAATCTACAATGACATTAAAAAAGGAGAATCCCCCCTCCCAAAAAACCTTGCATATTCTGAGCTGATGAAAATTCGTAAAGAATTTGTTTATTTATCTTATTACCGTTGTGCAATCTCTCATGAAATTACAGATTCAGGCAAGTGTTTCAATCAGGTAAATGTTTGCGATGACCTAGAGATTCATACTGTGCAAAGTAACAACAAATATAACATTACCTAGTCAAGAAAAAGCTAAGACTCTACAATGAAGTGGTCAGGTAGTCAACTTCAGTCTCATTAATGGTGACTAGAAACTGTGTCTCTAAATTAGTTATAATAAAAAATACATATCATATATTTTAGTAAATATATTTTACTAAACCTATCATATATTTCAACCTATCATATATTTTAGTAAAAAATGTATAACTTGTATCTCTTTAACTTCTAGTTAAGAGGAAATATAGGGGATAAAGGAGCAAGTTAAATCAGGAAACCACCAGACATACTTAGAAGATAAGATATCCTGTGGCATGTCTCCTCAATGAAATTACTGATATGAAAAGGAAAAGGAGAGAAGGAGACTGGGTTCTGGGTTCTTTTTTTTCCCCCCAAAGACTTAGGGATTACTCTGACAGATCTGGGCAAAGTCCACTGAAACCTGGGAAGAATTCACCATTGTAGAGGCCAATAGGAACATTGGCGAGTCACAGGTAGAGATCAAAATATCAACATTAACGAATTTGGAAGAAGTTGATTTTAACCCACCAAGGATGACTTTAAGGAGTTCAATGAAGGAAGTCACTGCAAATGTGGTAGAAACAGAAAAAGAACAAGAATTAGAAGCAGAAACTGAAGATGGAACTGAATTACTGCAACCCAGCATAAAACTTTAACAAATGAGGAACTGCTTTTTATGGATAAGCAAAGAAAGTGTTTTCTTGAGAAGGAATCCACTCCTGATGAAGATGCTGTGAACACTGTTGAAATGACAACAAAGGATTTAGAGTATTATATAAGCTTAGTTGATAAAGCAATGGCAGAATTTGGGAGAACTGACTCCAATTTTGAAAGAAGTTCCACTGTCAGTAAAATGCTATCAAA